TATGGTCTAGAAGACAGAGCGTACCGGTACGGCGTATCGGTACGCATTTTTCATAAGGTAAACCGTACCGGTACGCAGTATTGATACGCTTTCCCAAACTTTGAAATTTTCATTAAAATCTTTTTCTCATGCCCTTGGGCTAGGTACCCTTTAGTACCAATGATACAAATGGACCTTAAATGGGGTCTATTGGGGTGTATTGAACCCCGGTTGGATTAAATGATTAAAGGAACACGGGTTACACGTGTGAGTTATAATCCCGGACAAAGGGATATTATTGACATGATGCCGGAGTGGGCAACAATCACGGGTATTTTCGCAGGTTGACAGATGGTCAACGGTTAATAAAGAACCACCGGTTTTAGGAATGCCACATTTATCATTTTTTGTAAAAAATAATCCAAAATTGCTTCGAGGTTACTGTGGGGAAAAAAAAGATATGCTATTTTGAGCAAAAAAAAAATTGATGCTCCATATTTGATTTCCAAAATTTTCACATGGTTGTTATTTTCTTAAATTAGCTTTACGATTTGGTATTATTTATTCAAATAATGTAATTAATGTTCAAAAAGATCTTTGAGTAATTCTGTGTTATTAACTTACAAATTATAAATAATGTTACTAAACAAAGGTTGCTATGATATCACAAGCATTTGGCTTAACTGTTCATGTTCCTTTTTCCCATTATTATGCTCAATGTCTTATGTTCATTCTCAAAAATTGTAACATTGAAAATTAAGATTGTATGTGGACTGGTGTTACTATGATATGTGGTAGTAAATTACGTATTAAAATTGATATTATTAAACTCAAGTTATTATGCTAATATCAAGTATTTGGCTTGTACTATTCATGCTACTTTTTGTTTATATTTTTATGCTAATTGTCTTATGTTCATTATGTGTGGTGAGCTTTTTCTAAGATGTGGTTTGTGAGGAAAAAAAATTAATTAAATTTGTAGATGTGCTATGGTAATCTCATTTTGTAATATGAGATTATATGTTGTTTAGATATCCATGCTATCTTATGTTTTTACAAATTGATGGCCATTATAGAGAAAATTGCAACTCCAAAAGCGGGTTCATTTCACCAATTCAGGTCAAACTTACTTCAATTGGTAAAGGTTATTGGTGAAATAGAAATCAATGATATGCACAATGAACAGCTAAAGAAAACCACAATTTGGCACTTATTGCACACCATAATAACAATAGAAGTGGACAAAGATTGGTTCAAGAAGAATGACAAGAGTATTGTCAACATACTTAACACTTTTGATGTTGAAACATCTATATTCCGAATTGGTGGAAATGGCTTAAAGTTGCGAAAGAATGATGTAACCATCATATTTGATATAGAAGATGGTATGGATCCAATTGTTTCGCCCCAAAGTACAAATAAAATGTCACCATTTGTGAGGAGGAGATTTAATAATACTAAAGGGTTGAATGCATTAACAATAAAAAGTTGGCTGAAGGATGCAACAATAAGTGTTGTGCAAGACGATTGTGAAGATTTTGTTAAATTGTTCTCTTTGTAAACGTTAGTGACACTACTTATTACAAATATGAGGCAAACGATTTAGTGGGGATATGTGTCATACATAGAAAATTTGGATGACATCAAAAAATATAAATGGTCACAAGCAATACTTGATGGAATGATGAATTTCATACGATTGAAGAGAGACACACCTAGTGCAGTAACCGGATGTGTACTAACGTTACCTGTAAGTAGATGAGTGTTGACTTTTATGAATTGTTGTTTTTATTATTATTAAAAGTTATCCAATATCTATATTGTAACTAAATCTAATTTGCAGTACTATATATGTAAACACGCATCTATTATCGTGGCAAACAAGCCAGATGCTTTCCCAAGGCTTATGAAATAGAATGTAAGAAAACGTTGGACGTCACTCACATAAAAAAAACTATCAGACATCGCAAGTGATCAGGTATTTAAAAACTAGTAGTATATCATGTCAATATACCATGTTACTGTTATCATTTTGGTTAGTATGTGACCTGATGTGTGAATTGTGAATGAGCATATGACAAGGTTACTTAATGATTAATGTGTTACTGAAATCACCACTAATTTTTATAAAATCACATATTTAATTATTTGTTTGATTTTATGTTTTTGATTTTATAAGTTATTCATTTCACATTCCAAAACTGATTTTGATCATTAGTTATGAAGTGCATGTTACTATGAAAATCATGTTACGATAAGTTGCATATCACTATAAATTATGAAGCGCATTTTACTATCTTTTTTTGGATAATATGTTAATTTTATTGATGATGCATTAGATATTATCCATGTTACTTTAAAAAAATGGAGAATGATTTGAACAGTTTTTATACAATTTTCATGTTACTATTGATGTAATTTTGTAAATATCATTTTTTCAAAAAGAAACTTAAGAAAACAAGTGTTGGGAAGCACATAATAAAAACAAATCAGTCCAAGCAGAAAAATATCAAGAATGTTCCTGATAGTGAGGTGGTTGCACAACAATGCATCGATGTCAGCAAACATGCTTTAATAGAGGAGGCAGATGAAGAACCTATAGTTGATGCTGACGTTCATAGTATGGATAATGAAAATGGTCATGTAAGTGATGCAACATTACATTGTCCTGTTGAAGATCATCATGTCCAAAAAGACAGTTTAGACATCCAACTATTTGATGCATTTGTTGATGTGGTCATTCAAGGGTCATCATTTCTTGAATAAGAGGAATTGTTAACACACGGGCAAGAGTCAAAACAATCTTCACATGACAATAAAGGTGTGTTAGGATTGAAAGTTTATAATGAGGTGCATAAGTTCCATATACAAATGATGACTGTGGAGAACAAAACACTTAGAATTGTCATCAAGAATATCAGAGGAAACCAAAAGGAGGATGAATTGAAGGAGAATGAAAAATATGTGATGAACCTTATTGACAGGGACAATCAGATTTCAGAATTGAAGGTTTGGTTGATCTTATGGAGAAAAACAAAAAAACACAAGAAGAAGAAATTAAAACACTTAAATCAAGAGTGTCTCAATTTGAAGAAGAGAATTGAAGGTTTTGGTTTATCAACAATTACCAGCGTAAATCAAGCATTCCTATATTCAATCATCGGCCACCATATATAGGGACTTGCAAATAACATCTTTAAGTTTCCATAACTAACCAAACTAATACCATTAAGGGTATTTTTTAGATTAAAAAAAAGATGGACTTAACTACTTATTATTAAGATAAAAAAACGGATTTATCATCAACTAAGTTTTCTTGACGGACTCAAAACATTATAAGTCTATCAAGAAGAACTCAGCCCCAATTTTCACTAAATTAAATGAAACAGAAAGCCCAATTAGATGGCACAATTTGTTCTGTGAGTTTATAGGGGCGGCCATTCTTTACATTGTCGTAGCCTTTCAATTTGGTTGGGAGCCTATCTTGTCTGTTAATGCAAAATTATCAAAAATGGAATCACAAACAAATATTGGAAAATGTGGTTCTAACGTGGTGGGTCGTATTTGTATTTTAACCCGAAGAGGTAGCTCAAGTGATAACAAGAATGAATTATAAATCTATACGTCCTGAGTTCGAACATTTGTCACCTTTTAGGGCTCGGCCATGAGAAAATTATCGCTCATGAATACCCTAGTCTCGGCGTGAATGATTTGCTTTTAACCATATCGAAGAGGGAATTAGTCGAGTGCACGTAAGTTGGCCTAGACACCCTTGACCGTTGAACAAAATTTTTTTTTTTTAATTTTGAGTCACCAAAAATGAGATAAAAAATTAAAAATCAGATCCATATTATTTTATTTTATTTTAAACTTATTTTGTGATCTATATAACATAATCCATCTTTGTCGAAGAGAAAAAGGGACATTGCAAGCGAACATACCAAAAAAATATGGGTACCTCTTGTAATTTATGTGGAAGTAGTAGTGTTTATTAGCAATGAGCAGAGGTTTGCTAATTCTTGACTCATTATGCACAATTAATAAAATCTCATTTAACATATGTGGTTAATGACACGTAAGCTTGCAAGAACGATCAAATCACATGCATGCACAAAGAAAGCTGATGGCGTGAATTCGTGTGAATGAGTAGAGGGAATGAATTATGCTTGATGTCTTGGATCTGAGCTACAAGGTTCGTGAGATTCGTGTTGAAATTATTGGGGGATTGGGGGAGTTTACACAGTAAAGTTATAATAGTTTACCAACTTTGGAGCTCGGCTAATCCACTTTTTAATGGAGGTTCTTGCTCTTTTCTACTTTATTTATAAAGAGAGAGATTTACAGAGTAATGTCTACACAACTAGGGTTTTTCTTCCGCTCCCCCTCTCAATGGAGGGGTTGTACAGTATTTATAGAGTAATTTGTATTATTAAGGGATCTTCGGCGAGATCCTTGTTCTTCAAATACGGGATTTTCCTTGATTTTAGGAGAAAATCTTGGGTGGTTAAGAGTTTCTCGCCTAGATCACTCCCCCTTTGTTGTTTGCGTATGCCTCTTGTTGTCCAGCTGTTCTTTCCCTGACTCGCATGATTTTCCATAGGAGAAGAGCTCGGGACATGGGCTTCATAGCTCTGAGCTCATTATCCGACCTAGCCTCCCGAGCTCATATTTAATAAAAATTCTTTATTCATGCACCATCAAAAGATATTATTATTTTTTTTTCTCGAACAAAAGTAATTGAAACTAAACTCTAGATCTAACTAAATGATGTGTTAATTGATATTATTCAATAATATATTATTATAATCATACTAAATTTTGTAAATAATATCATATTTACAGTACTGAGTGAAAATATTAGACCAGATTTAGGTGTCAAATAGTTGTTTTTTCTCTTCCCCTTGGGATGGATTGTAGCCTTGGGTAGTTCATACAGCGACTGATCCACATAAAGATTCAAGAGATCCTATACAAAGAGGACAACTAGATCTTATACTAAGCCACATGTAAACACACTCAGAATGGTAAACATGGAGACATTCGGGCTTGACCTTAATCATCTCATGAGTATCTTCAAAGAATCCGAGACATATCGAGCACTTGCTTTTTTCGCAACAATGTCTGAGTTCATCATTAATGTGTTGTGCAAGAATCTGGGCAGCTTCTTAATGGTGGCGGTAGCGAGCCCTAGCAATTCAGTCAAAAGAGTTAGAAGAATCGAAACCTTATTAACTACTGTTGTGGTTGTGGAACTCAAGGTCATTTTTATGTTGATTGATAAGTGTTCGAACTGATGGACGAGAAGGAAGAAAAAGACGGTGAGGATGAGGACAATTGCAAAGACAAAAATAAGTATTATGAGGAGGGCATGACCATGGAGTATTTGACAACTGAAGGTGAGGTTTGGGGAGTCCAAGAGTGGGGGTTGGAAATCTTCAGAGACCATGGGAGAGATATTGGGTGGCGGAGGAAGTGGTGGCTATGGAGTGGTAAATGATAACTAAGATTGAGATGACGGAGAGAGTATGGGCCTCTAATACTGGTAGCAGTGATTTCACAAATTGTAGGGCAGGGTTCTTCTCTGTATAAGTTGTTTCGGACATTGGTTACCATTTATGTATTAATAAAAGTTCATACCAAAAATTGAAATCCATAAAAGTTGAATCCATTAAAAAAACTCAATTACAATTTAGGAAATTTAGGGACCGATCCCGCTTTTGTGAACTTATTTTGACTTAAGTCCACTCCAAAAACTTGTTTGAAAATAGGTCCATTTTGATCTCTATTGTTCAAACCCACAATAGTTATATTTAATTAAAGGACAAATGACACTTTGCCCCCTGAAAGATTGCAAGAATTTAAATTTGCACCATGAAAGATTGATTGTTCCAAATTGCACCCTTCATGTTAATATTTGGTGACAATGTGGCCCCAAGATTAACGGATGTCGAACTTGCTGTTAACCCAATCTATCACGTTAGATGCATGTGATAACCTGAAGGACAATCATGTAAAAACACCACATATCCAATTCCCCCATTTATTCTGGCGCCATGGTTGGACTTGAATTGATTTTGCCCTAATACATTCCATGCCATCATTCAAGAAGGAAGGAGTAGAAAAACAGAGGAGAAAGAATGGACTTTTGTTATTGCGGTAAGAGAGTATCAGTGAAGACTTCATTGATAGAGTTAAATCCTGGGAGGCTATTTCTTTGTTGCGATAACCATGGGTTAAAATTGTTGTCCTTATTTTCTTGATTTCTTAAAAATTTCATTCCCATAGCCAACTTGAATCAGAGATTCTGGAACACAATTAAAGGTTCTAGTTTAGTGTTTGTAAGTTTATATAAATTGTGTAACATAAACAATGTAATTGTACAAAAAAATTGACAATTGCACAGGGGAAACAAAATGATGCAACTCCAGCCTTTTCGCCAATGTGAATATCTACATTTTTGTAATTTTTTTTTAAATCATTATATGGTGTTGTGTTTTAATGTATGCAAAATGATAGATTATGTGGTTATTTTGTATGGGTGGACCCTCCAATGTGTAGTTGAGCTCGACAAATAATACCCCATTTGCTGCGTCGAGTGATCAGGTTGGAGACAGAGCTGGAGCATGGGAGAAACATGAACAAGTCAAAAGTACTGAAAAGATATCTGATTGCTTGTTTGCTACTCATTTTTTTGATATTTCCTACAAGGCTGGAGTTGAATGGGATGGTTTAGATGGGAATGTGAGTGGAATTAAGGGTGTTAATTTGAAGTTAATGTGACTATGTGGGCAATTGTAACTAAATGTGATGCCTTCATTTTTTTCTAACTTATGTAAAGCATTGAATTATGTTGTTCTGATATAATGTAATGCAATGAAATAGTTAAAATATTCCAATTCATTGGAAGCTTTGTAGTTCATGATGTATGTAGTATTCCAGTTTCTAACTTGACATACATTCATGTTCAGAAACTGCAAGCATAACCTTTCACCACAAGTGTACTAACCAAGTCCAAAAATCAACCTTGCACAAGTGCATTGACCATATACAAAAAAACAAGTGCAATACGGGTGCACTATCCATGTCCAAAAACAAGAACAAAAGTCTGAAGCACAAAAGTCAATCATTGTTTCCTAGCTGCCCCTAATTTTTTCTTTGTTGTAGCCTTCTTCCTTGGCTAAAACGATGAAACTTTTGTCGAATATGCCTGGGCGGTCTGCTGAGGTGGAATTGGTGGTTTGAACTTCTACGAGGTTTTCTGGCGTGTGCAACTGCTATGAGGTCTACTGGCATGTCCTTTTTGTTGGCATTGGTCCTTTTTGTATGTTGCAATTGGTCCTCTTTTATTAGTCTCAACAGTAGTCCTAGCAGCATCTTTTGAAGTTAAACGATAATTCTTCCTTCTGACCTGGACCATAGACCACATTGCACAATATAAGTTAAACCAAGTTTGTAGAAAAAATAAACAAAATACATTATGATGTAATTGGATAACAATAATGCTTACACATGACTTGACCCTTGGACCTCTATAAATGACAAAATATTTTGATGCAACTGGACCTCTTTGACTGATGGGCCATTGTCCTCTGTAGAAACTGGTGGTATTGGAGCATGAGATGGGTCACTATCATCTGCACCAACTGGAGTGTGGCCCTTTCTCTTATTATGTTCAATCTGTCCACATTTACCACATTTTATGGCCTTGTACCTCTTCTTTAATTTAGTTCCTGATAGGGGTTCATCATTTTCCCTCCTCCTACCTTTTTTGGGCCTGTCAGGCATTCTGCCTATATCTAAGGAAGAATAGGAGCATACCCAACCCTAGGCCACATGTCTTTACCATTAATTGGATTCAAGCGATGACTATAACACTTTAAAAATGTTTCAACCTTCCACCAATTAGTAACATTATCCTCTGGTTGTAACCCCAAGTAGTTAAGAGTAGAAACTGCATGCTTGCAAGGAATTGCAGTTAAGTCCCACTTCCTACAACTGCAATTTCTATTCGTCACATTTACAGTTCTTTGCTCACCATACATCCCCACAACCTCAAATTTGTGTTCTCCATTCCAAATAGGTATGAAAGATGTGAACCCCCACATGTTTATATTAATATAGTAATATACTTGTTTATTGATTTTTATATATGTAATGACGTAAAAATAAACCATACATATTTGAAACTGTAAGAATAAATACTAGGAAGGCAAATTGATTGTGAAATTTAATTTAATTTAATTTTTTTTTAGGTGTTTAAGGTTGATAAGGGTAACAAAGTAAAAATATTAATTTTAGTGTTTCGAGTGTAAATTTATTTTATTTTTAAAATAAATCATAAAAATAAATATTTTTAGGTTAAAATAACATTAAAATGAATCCGGAACGTCGAAAAACCTTAGAATAGTTATATGGATTACATTGGAGATTCTTAATGGCAAAATCGTAATTTTAGAAAAAATCAAATCAGCCTGTGAACAGTAAAATCGGGATTTGGCTGACCTAATAACACCATTTCATCCCATTTTCCCTCATTTATTTCACTCCACTCTCACCCCACATCTCTTGGAACCTTATTGGAAGATTAAGAGAGGAAGAAAAGGGAAGAAGGAGGTCACTAGAGCTTGGGTTCTTACTTGGAATTTTGATTCAAGGTAGGAGTTTTCTTTCATCCTTTTTCATTGAGGTTAGGGTATTTATGTATGTATGTTTTGCCTCTAAATGTTATATATATGATATGAATTCATCCTCTCTTAGTCTTTTTTTGCAAAGATTACATGTTTTGAACAAAGTTAGGGTTGAATACCCATGAAATCTCTTTTCTTGCTTTAAAACCCTAGTTTTTGAAAAGTGATGAATTTTTTTCTTAAATTCTTCCTTTATTATTGATTTCAAAACTATAGTGCTTTGTGTTGAGTAATAAAATGATGTTGTTGTGATCTCTTGTATTTTTCTTAATTGGTCATCGGAATTGTCACATGATAAATTTGGGATTTTTGTCATATGCTTGTAAATTGAGAAATTGAGTTTGGTATTGTATCTCTTATGAGTGTGGGATGACCATGGGTGGCCTTTAACGAGATATCGTAGAGTGGGTAGAAGTTCTTCATACTCCGTGTGGGTTTGAACTTTTCCTACTATTCGTAGTGGGGTTAGTGCTTTGGTAAAACTAAATTGCTATTACTCACGGGTATCGAGGCGGAGGGTTATACTAATGTCTGGGTTGGATACATCACTGCCATTGGTATGGTATACGTCCTTCCTAAAGGTTAGATATCTTTGAAAAGATTTGGGTGTGTGTGTGTGGGCTAGATGTTACTCAATGTGTTGATTCATGTGGATGCCTTACATCATGGTTGAGATACATGTATTTATTGTTGTGAAATATTCAAGTTAAGATTCTACCAGAAATGGTTTCTATAAGAATCTTGGGAAGTATGGGATTCCGCAAGAACTTGTGAGAAACGGTTTATGGTGAAATGGATTATTAATTGTATATTGAGTTCTTTTATTCATTAAATTATTATAGTTACTTAAACTTAAGATCTGTTTCCAATGTCCCTGTTTTCTTCAAAAGTTATATATGATATTTGTAAAATGAGACTGACCATTTTATATGCTTTTCTAAACCTTGTTCGGGTTTGGAAGAATTTTCCTACAGAGCTTCGTGCTCACCCCCTACTTAACAACCTTTTCAGATTATCCTCTTGAGGAAGAGCTGGGAGTCGAGGAGCCCGAACACTGGGAAACTTCGATAGACGGGAGCATAAATCCCGAGGTGGACACTTAGAGCGACACTTTTTTTTGTTCTAGACTAGGATATTTATTTTGAACATTGTGAAGTCTAGTTTTTCTTTTGTTATTCCGCTGCGCTATGATAGTTAAATTTTTGGGATGTAAATGCCATGGTTAGGCATATTCTTTTGGATAATGTTGTAAATTTTATGGATGAAAAATGAAGTCTTATTTGTTTATGATTCATATTAGTGTTCTCATGATGTAAACGATTTTAGACAGTAGTGTGGTCAATATTTATTCATAAATGGAATCAGTGTGGTCAATGTAGTATAATTGCACATGCTGTGTTTTGGGTAGAGCTCCCCGTACAAAGGAGATTCTGCCCGAAATTTGTTAAATTAAGGACCCCCGATTTTTGGGGCATTACAAAAGATGCCACCTCCACTATAACAAACTCTAATCTCTTTTGTATGTTAGGACATATAGAACCTCTATAGTTCTTCAAGTAATCTCTCTGTCTGTGTATTTTTTTCATGAGCCACTCTCTAATTTTCTCAAGCATCTTTATAATAGGCTTGTCCCTAGCCTCAACTATACTGCCATTAAAAATTTCACACAAATTATTCAACATGTCACATTTAAAAAATGTACTAAAGTGAGACCTAGACTAATTGACTGTTGGTTTATCACACAACCACTTATATGCATCTTCATCAACCTTATGTAATTCATCCATTACTCCTTTAAAATC